AATATTTATTTTCCATTTAATTATGATTAGCTAATGAGTGGCAAAATGGCAATGAAGATGATCTCGATGCGACAGGGATAGCTTTTTTATTGTTATTATTAAGAAGAATAATATTTTCAGGATAACTTGCTTAATCGGAACTAAATTTCTTTTTCAAACATTTATCAAAAAGATTTAATTAATTATGTCTAGTAATAATTTTCAAAATTTGAATTGCAAATGCTTTTCAATACTATTGCTTAAACTAAGATTGCACGGTAATCGAGATTCTTTTTCGAATATTTTAAGAATCCATCTTTTTAATCAGTTTAATATATACAAGTGGATGGTAAAAAGAATCATGAATATTATACAGTACGTTCCAGCACGATCTGCCCTGTTAAAGCAGGAGAATATGATAATTAACATGGGAGGATTCAACATGTATGGGTCTCCTGAGTGGCCACCTCGCGAAAGAGAAGCTTCACATGAACATGCATGTTCTTAAACCATACCAGCAGACAATATAGAAATATTATTGCAGCATAAGCACTTTGAACAGAAAAAGGAAGGTTGTAGAAGAAAAGAAAGCCCGTGAGACTTTATGCATCGTGCGAGATGATGTTGCCGAGTTGAGCTCAGCTGCCTATGACTTGAAATCGTCATCTCCGTGACGACTTACGTGTAGATAATTGCTATAGTGGTGTCCAAGATAATTCTGCATTAATAATGGAAGTGAATCTTTGCCTAGAACCACATGAAAATTGAAGGAATATTAAGATTTTATCATTCTCCAGGCAAAACCAATGAAATGTCGTTGTCTTAATTACGTTTTATCTTCTAATGATCTAGAAATTGCTTTTAATTTTTATACTTTTCTGGTTTCTTGCAAGAGAAATGAACAACAAATCAGTTAAGATTCTCACAAAGTTTCCTTCGATGTGATTAATTTCTGCCCAATCAAGAAACATAGGCAGCGTTCATGTTCAATAGATATATATTTGCTAATCCTAGTACATCCGAGCTAGACCAAGTTAATTTTTAACAATAAATAAATAAAATCAAGCTCTTTTCTTATTTATCAAGATCGGAGTTTCTGAAAAAATATATACATATACATTAGCAAGTTTTCTCTTTCTATTTGAAAAGCTGCTTGAATACTATGAATACTCAAGTTATGTCTTGGTTATCCTTAAAAAAAAAAAAAAAAAAACCCTAGATATATATCGTCGGTGATTTTTTCACAGGCGACAACCCTTTCAAGTCTTTTCTTTTTCATGTTTATTTTTTAATAAATTGAGATATGATTTTGGATATGATTTCTCAAGTCTTTTCTTTTCTATTATTCGATGTGATTTTGGATATGATTTTATTGTCGGTAATTCTTCCATCCCTTCTTTATTGAGTTTTATCTCTCAATCGCTTGTCATGTGATATCTTATCTCCTTCGAATGAAAAATTTGATATTACATCTTCTGATTGAAAGTGATTGACACTATCTAGCAATCATGGTGGGATGAAAGCTTTCATCAGGTGAAGTCTATAGCATGGCCAGTTCTCCATTGATTAATTAATGATGGCTTGAGATTTCTATGCGTGCATGAGCTGCAACTTGATAAGAAAATCAAGAGAATCCGATTTTATATTCAAAGACAGAATTAATGGTGGCATGAAAGATTACTTTTTTTTTTAAATTATAAGTTTTAATTTTCATAGATACCGGTCTTTTGATAATAGCTATGTGCTCTGCGCTATTTTATGTTTAATAATTAATAATATAGTTCTATTTCATGATTAATAATATAGTTCCATTTCATGATTAAAATAAAAAAGGGTTTCAGCAAGATCAAGTTTATCGATAATTATTTAGGAGAATTGCGTGTGTAGTCTCTAAAACTGTATTCGCTGCCTGCAAATGGGGGTTGATCGACTGCTTCAAGCTTAAGTATTCTCTCTAATTACCTAAATGAGGCCGCTGCTGGCTCTTTTCTGGGTCATGCAATTAACAGTACTGCATTATGCATTACTAGAGTAGCTAAGCAATTTAAATCAATGCTTAAAGAGACGAGGCAAACCTTGAATTGTGGCTGCAGCATCAGCTAGCTTCAAAAGAGACCTAAAGCATTAGAACCTAAGAGGTTGCGCTATCTTTATTAGAGATAACAGCAGCCACACACCGGGGTCAGTCAAAATTCCAACTTTAAATATTGGCCCTTGTATGCATGTAAACTTTCACGAATCCTCACCAACCAAGCATGCACGTCAATGTCAACCTAAAAGCCTAAAAGCACTCCACAAAGTTGTGTTGTATATACTATGGTATCTCGGGTCCCAATTTCCTCACTGATTGGCACGATATAAATCAATCGTTCACCTATGCAGATGCAACACAACAATCACTGATCACTCTTAAGAAGAAGTGGGATTTGTTTGTGAGGGTTAATTAAGCTTGGTTTTTGCTAGCTGTGATGGAAGAGAAAAAGGAAATGAAATTCCTGAGACCTGATAGTTTGAGTGTTGGGGCAGAAATTCCTGCAATTTCTGCACCTCCATTTCAGCTCCACTGTCCTTCAATGACGAGATCACCGTTTCTAGACATAGCTCCCAAAACTCCCAAAACACCCAAAAGTCCCTTAGCTTCGCTTCTGATGAGTACTCCTATAGCCAGCCCCATGAAGAAGGCAATTGCAAGTATGCAATCTTACTTAGAAGAAGTTGGCCACTTCACTAAGCTTGATCCCCAGGATGCATGGCTTCCCATAACCGAGTCTAGAAATGGTAACGCATACTACTCGGCATTTCACACATTGAGCTCAGGAATTGGAGTTCAAGCCCTTCTTCTTCCACTTGCTTTCACCACTCTTAGCTGGTAATTGAGCATAATTAATCTCAACCCCTTCCAGTAAATCTTTCTTCACTTTTTATCAGCAAGAAAAACATTATGATTCAGCGTGCAATTAGGCCTTTTCAAATGCAAATTTTTAGTTTGTTTTCTCTTTTTCAATTTGTCTGCAGGACTTGGGGAATTCTATGTCTATCTCTAGTGTTCATGTGGCAACTATACACTCTATGGCTACTGATTCAGCTACATGAATCCGAGTCCGGAATGCGTTATAGCCGATATCTCCGACTATCAATGGCTGCCTTTGGTGAGCGCCATGCCTTTATCTTCTTCATGCCAGTTATTAGCCGATTAAATCTCACATATGGCTTAATTACAAATTTTAACCTTATTAACTAGTGCCTAATCTATTCAGCTTGATTAAATTTTCTGATCATAAAGAACTTCTATATTAGATAGAAGCATAGAACATTGGAAACGTGTGGATCTTCAGAAGATTAAAATATATGGTATATATTTTCAGGTGAAAAGCTGGGGAAGCTTCTTGCTCTCCTCCCAGTCATGTATCTATCAGGTGGAACCTGTGTGACCTTGATTATGATAGGTGGTGGAACTATGAAAATATTTTTCCAAATTGTCTGTGGAGATACATGCAGCATGAGGCCATTAACAACAATAGAGTGGTACCTCCTGTTCGTTTGTTTGGCAATTATTCTAGCTCAGCTCCCCAACTTAAATTCTGTAGCTGGAGTTTCCCTGATTGGAGCAATCACAGCCATTAGCTACTGTACACTGATATGGGTAGTGTCCATTATTCAAGGTAGGCCTGAGGGTGTATCCTATGACCCTCCGGAGACAAAATGCGACATGGCTAGAATCTGTGACATTCTAAATGCACTTGGGATAATCGCCTTCGCTTTCAGAGGTCACAATCTTGTGCTCGAAATACAGGTAAGATGAGAAATCTCACATCGATTCATTTTTGCCTTTTCTTTTCATCTTGCACTAGATCTGATCATATGATTTGTTTGCTGATCACGAATGTTTTAGGGGACCATGCCTTCCAGTGCAAAGCAACCATCCCGTAAGCCAATGTGGAGAGGAGTAAAGTTGGCATATGTGATCATAGCGATGTGTTTGTTTCCTCTTGCAATAGGAGGCTATTGGGCCTATGGTAACTTGGTAAGCACAAGTATTTAGGTCTAATTATGGTTGAAACTAAGGCCTCAACAACATCAGGACTGAATTTTCGCCTATTGTCTCAACTAATACCAAGTTGTATTCTACTTCTGATGGTCAGATGCCAAACGGAGGGATGCTCAATGCTCTACACAAATATCACGGACACAGCACCTCTAAGTTGCTACTAGGATTAACAAGCCTATTCGTTGTGCTTAACTGCCTCAGCTCATTTCAGATATATGCAATGCCAGTGTTCGACAATCTGGAGCTCAGATTCACCAGCAAAATGAAGAAACCATGTCCCTGGTGGTTGCGCATAGTGTTCAGGATCTTCTTCGGATGCTTGGCATTTTTTATATCAGTGGCACTTCCTTTCTTGATGAGTTTGGCAGGATTGATTGGAGGGGTTGCACTCCCAGTTACCTTAGCATATCCATGTTTCATGTGGATATTGATTAAAAAACCCGCAAAATACAGTGCAATCTGGTGCCTGAATTGGATACTGGGAGTCTTGGGGATGGTGCTTAGCATCCTAGTTATAGCTGGAGCAATATGGACTATTGTGACCATGGGTATCGAAATTCACTTCTTCAAGCCCCAGTAAGCGAGTTATTAGCAATCATTCGATACTGCATCTCGAGTAGATCTAAAACCAAACCGTTGATCGGATTCCAGATGGATGAAATACCTTCTGGAGTGGCAAGGACAGCCACTGCTTGAAGAATCTACCCACGCACCAACTTAATTTGTAGTTTCTAAATATTTACCCTTGAATCTTGATATTGACCTGTATCATATCATATTGCTGATAAATATATAACCATATTTTCAACAGAAAGTCCTTCGGCTCGAAATTCCAGAAGCATTAACTCTGCAAAGGCTTGTGCACAGATTGTGCATCTTCGGCTCCAAATTCCAAAAGAATTAAACTCTGCAAAGGCTTGTGCACAGATTGTGCATGGAGAGAGTAAATGTTAAAGAAAAAAGTCCCAGAAAATCTCAGCACCTACTCATTCCTTTACATTAGTGATGTGTACCAACAAAAATAAAAATCGTGTCCAAGACATATTACAAGCATTTGTCTCGTAAATCAGGCCTGGCTAGAGTCTGTTAAGGCCGCGATCCATGCTACAAGCATGTAGCAAGAAACAATACCTTTAAAACCAGCATCCACCCAACCCACATTCGATGACTGTCACGGCAGTGGATGAAAACATCTCAATCTTCCATCCCGAGTGATGAGAAATCTCCCATTCAATCAGCACGTATTTTAATGATCACCTCAATCATATTCCTTGATCAACTTGCTTTAGTATGCAACTACAGATTGAAATAAACCAAGGAAAAAGGGGCCCGATGCAAAAGTCAGAAATTATATCAATCTACTCAACAAAGTTGTGTTGGTAGAGGAAAAGGTCCACTACTTGTAAAGTTTACATAGATAAAGGAAGAAGCATCCTTCGCTTCTTTTTCCTAGCCAATCGAACTTGCTTTATAACTTTCATGCATAAAAGCAATAGCATAGTGATGCATGCTAAGATAAACGCAACTCGCATACGCCTAAAATATAAAGAAACTGCAGAGAAAACCAAGAATGCTATGATAACGAGTTCCCATACTACAAACACCACTACGTCCACCCTGCAAGAACACACAGGACAAAGAGAGGAAACAATGTCAGGATCGATGTCATCTTAGATGAGTTATGTATTGGCATTCTCAAAAAAAAAGATAATCAAGCAGGAGAAACATTCACTCGTCAAAAGAAAAATTTTTATACAACACATTTCCATGAAATGACACCAGTAACATAAATCTCTGCTGGGCAGGAAAATAAATCAACTCTCTCTACTACTGCATACAACAGTAAAATAACTGGATCACATTTACGAGACAAATGTTCCAAAAAATTATCAGTTGAATTATTATCTCTGACTTGCACAAGTCAGAAGGAACCGAGTTAATCTAGTATCTAGACAAGTTTCTTTGAGTCAATCAGGAATCAGACTGCTTTCTCCTTTTCCAAATCTCCAGCAGGAAACTGTTTAAATCGAACACACATGGCAAAACTGTATCCTATGTTAATGCTCACCATAGACTACCTTTTCAATCCCCCAAGTCCCCTTCAACACTGAATCCTATCAAATTGAGTATCAATGATCAGCTACAGAGCTGCATTCTACTATCTTCCAAGCACAACACCTAAAAATAACTTCAGATCCCAGCATGTCATCCCAGATCTCACGCATGAAACTGCTGGCAAATGTCAAAAGTAGCCTAGCAACAAACAACATATTTCATAAGAAAATGAACCATATTCTGTATTTTCTCACTTATTCAAACCTTTATAAATTATTCCTCTGCTCACTAGATATTCTAATTCAAACTTTATTTTTCTTGTCCTTTGTGGACATCCATGTTCTTAGTGGATTAACATCAGAGTGTTGTCTACAAGAAAATAGCAAGGATATCATCTCGAAAGCATTTTATGTTCTCACCTTTTTGCATCTCTGCTTTGCATATGGGAAGCAGTGCAATTGGAAAGGATATCGTAGATGATTGTAACTTTTATGACCTTAAGACCTTATCCTCTTGAATGGGAACCATCCAGGGAAATTAATCACTACCGAGCCTAATAAAGTCGAATGACATGAAACACCACCAAAAATATTTTTTATCACAACAGATGCGTTCCGCACCCATTCAGAGTATGAGTTTTTTACCATAAGAGAGGATCTACTCATAAAATGCTACTCCAACCGAAAGGATCAATCAGATTTCACACATCTAAACAAGCTCTTAACATGTGGTAATCGGCTTGCTTGTGATTGAAACCATCCAGTAACCAGTAAAAGGTGTTTCTTGTTTCAGCAAGTGATACAGCACCAGTGCTTGAAAAACACCTTGTCCATAAACTTTAAATACCTTCTATCAAAATGTTATCATCAATTCCTCGAGAGTTCCAAGTGTTCAATCTTATGCACATTTTGCTTGAACCTACCACAACTACATTCACATCTCTGAGCTCAACCCACTTCACACAAAAAAGAGCCGATCATTTCCAAACCCCATCTTTCAGGAACCCATTTCGATATTGAAATCTAAACAACAAGTTTCCTTGTTTTTTAATCATCTCAAATTTTCTCATGCACACACAAGCAAGCATGCCCATCTAGTAATAAAATCCCTTAACATTCAAATTGAACTAAAAAGAGAAAAAATCCAACCTAATTCCACATTCAAGAATACCATAAAAAGCATGAAACGAGGAAATTCATTTCCTTAACCTACTAAACCAAATTAAGAACCCAAAATACCGAGCCAGTTAACCAACCAATCTTCTAAAGCTTCAATTTTCAGCTTCTATGTTCAAAATCCCTCGCACAAAATCCACATTCCATAAAAAAGAATCCAAACCCAAAACATAATTTCTCTGCAATCATATCATTTTAAAAACGGAGATCTGACAGTCGAACCAATCAAAGGAGCAGTCAAGAAATGTAAAACCTGAAGGAAATAAAGAAAAATATCTACAAAAAAAAAAAGAGAATCTGAAAAATTAAAAAAGGGAGCGGGTAAAGGTGCGTTACCTAGGAGAAGTGAAATTGGAAGTGGAAGAGAAGAAGGAGACAGAGGCCCAATCATGCTTGGATCGAATCTGATACTCTCTTAATTGGTCCGCCAAATTCGATCGCGTTATCATCTCTCTCTTCGCCTCTGTCTTCCGCTGTTTTAATTCCTCCTTTCTTGAGCTCCAGGAGGAGACAGCAATGGTGATTTTTACAGATCGAACGATGAACAGAAAGAGTTTCGGTCTGGCTTGGGTTCGTTGGCCTGGACCCTCGCCTCGCTCCTCGCTGTAAAACTTATCTCTTGTTTGGGCTCAAATGTTTTTAAATAGGCTTCAACCCGATGGGCTTGACCGGAGTGGCTTTAACTAAATTTGTCACTTTGTTTTGTTTTTTCTTTTCTTCCAGACATGGTTATCAAACCGATCTGATTAATGGGTAAATTCGATGATTCGTCAAACCCATGACAGAATTAGGTTTTTTTTGAAGTTGTTTTAAATATTAACATGATCAAGTATGAGTGATTCCACAGGTACTTTGATTTGAGTCAACAAATGCAATTAATTAACAACTACATTATTGTGTATAAAGCTCAAATATATCAGGTTTTCACTATGCATTATCTTATAATATCATTATCATTGAAATAGTTAATTTTTATATAAAAAAATTAATTTGATCACAAATTTATATACACGCGCGCGCGCATATATATAATTCCTTTTAAGTCAAAGTTTGCACCAATTGATTTTTTTTTTTTCTAGAATGGTTGATATAATAGCGATTTTAAAATTCATACTAAGAGTTTACTTTATTCTTCTATATATTTTTCAGGTTATAAGTGATTGGTTTTTTTAATTTTTAAATATTTAATTTTGATATAAATTTTATTTTCTCTAGTTTTTATTCTTTTTTTAAAGGAGAAAAAAAGAAATTTGATGAATCTTAGCTTAGAAAACAAATCAGTATTAATACATGTCTTAACCTCTGAAATAATTAAAGTTGATATCAATGAGTTATATTTAAAAAGTAGAGTTTTATAGTAATTATTTTATGCCTCAATTTTGCCTAAAAAATATAATTAAATCAAGAAAGTAAAAGATTATTCAATTTTATTTTGTGATTAAAGCTCTTTTTTGGGTTTATTATGTTACTAAATTGGTTTCTACATATTCTATAGCTGGTTTTTTTAGTTTTTTTACTTTAATTGTGTTGAAAAATGAGTTTGGAAGGTTAAAAATTTATAGTTTCAATTTTTTCAACCGTTACGATGATGATAAAAAATTAAACTAAAAGATAAGGCATCATCAACCTTAATAAACAACACCTCATCTTTACATTTTCAAAAAAAAAAAAAAATAGTTTACAGGCATCCATTCCTTTATATATATAAAACATGTTCAGGTGCGTGGGTTTAGGCTTAAAGGTCTATATCTGGGTTGTTTTTTTTAAGTTTTAATACTTTAGATCATAAACCAACATTGTTGGGCTATTTTTGGCTTTTTTAAATACAAGAAGAAAAATTAAATTGGTTATTTTCATGATGCAGATCATAAATTTGACAAGTTACACAACAATATCCAGTTTGTTATTGTTATTATTATTATTGTTATTTTTTTTTATTTAATGCACTTTTGATACCTTAATTTAAAAAAATAATTTCACCATTTATCATCAATGATTTATTTTCTTGATTAACTTAAAGTAAAAAACATGTATATATTATTTCACCTCTTATTATCAGTATTTTTCTTTTGCTATCTCAATCCTACTTATATGTCATGTTTTTTTAAAAAAACAAATCATCGTAAAATATTATATTCACTTTAATGTCATGTAAATCCATTAATTAGAAAAATAATATATGGAATAAAAATTTATTGAATTCGATGAAAATCATAACTTGCATTAAAATTTTGGTTTGTTAGCTTAAATTCACTTGATTTTTTTTTTGTTTTACCAATTTTATCTTTTAATATTAAATTAATTTAAGGTTTAAGTTCTCGGTTTTTTTTCAAGATTATACCTACAACTTTCATATGTCAACTTGAAATGATCTTGATTGATTTAGTATATTTTATTTTCAATGTTAAATAAAAATATCATCTAATATGCATTAGCTTTTAAATTTATGAATACAATATTTTTATTTATTTAAAAAACACATTGCCATTTACTATTCTTTTTCAAATAGAGTGGGCCAATGGGCTAGTCTACGTGTGACCGAGTTTCATTTCATAAGAGTAGTTTGACTTGGGTTTTTTTTCATTCTCCTTGCCCAATAAAGTATATTTAACTACAAAAAATCATTTTAGCTTTGAATTGATTCTGCTTTTTAAGATGTTTCTTGGGTTTTTGGTCGTCATGGATATGTTTATTAAGATATTTACAATGTTTTTATAGGTTGTTTGAGTTGAGAATGGATTTTAAATTGAAAAAAACCAAACCCCTAATATTCCAACAAATTATAAAAAGCAAATGATGCATTGTCTGTTAATTTTTTTTTAAAAAAAATTACACCCCTTTAAAAAAGTAGAAAATTAAAATGAGATAAGCTGAGTTGCGCTAGTTAGGCTAAAAAACCTACACATTCAAACTATTTTTTTTTAATGTAAATTCCACGACGGCTAGGCTTTTTTTGTTTTTCTATTTTCTATTTGGTTTTTGGAAAACGGCAAATCTTTGAACTTAGTTAAGTTCATTATTTACATGGTGGTTTGATGGGTTGATTAGCGACATTTAAGGTTTTTTTTTTTTGTTTAATGTTTTTTTCCTCTTATTTTTTTAAATGTAACTTTACTGTTTGTTATCGATGATCTATCTTTATATACATAACTTGAACCTAAAAGAATGAAATCTCATATTTTATTGTTGGTGATATATCTTTACTATCTCAACTTCACATGTCTTTCATGGTTTTTTTTTTACTTTGTGATAAATTATATTGTTTTACACAAAAAGAATTTCTTAAGCTTTATTGTTGTGTAATTAAATAAAAATTATGTTTGAAATAAAAAATTTATCAAATCTAATGGCATGCATAACTTTCATTATTCATTTTTTTGGTGGAATTAAGTTTATTCTATTTTTTAATCAAATATTATTTTTTATAAATTTTATGTTTCAACATTAAATTAATTTATAATTATGCTTTTTTTTTTTAAGACCGTGCTCGACACTTTTATAGATTTTACTAAGTTGATTTAAGTGAATCAAATATTTTTTCATCTCATTATTAAATCAAAATATCATCCAATTCATAATTAAAATCATTTTTTTTTAAAGACTAGTTTCAAATGCTTAGATATTGTTTTTTCTGAAAAGAATTTTTGCCATGACTGACAATGAGCTAGTTTAATGAGCTAGTTTTATGGATAGAACAATTAAAATAATTTTGAATTAAATTATAAGAATTGATTTGATTTGATTTATTATATATTATTTAATTTAAATAATAAAAACTTTTAAAAATAGTTATTATACATTTATTTTTTTAATATTTTATCTTAATCTACACAAATCCAATGATCAAATCTACTAACTTTAATAATATGTATGTTTTTGTATTCTAAATAAGTAGGGTTATTGTTACTGTTTTAAGTTTAAAAATAAGATAGATAATGAAAATAAAAAATATATAGTTAAAAAATATAAAAATAAAATAAATATATATCTTAAAAAGTTCTAATATAAATTTTTATATTCTTAAAATAAAAATGCATGAAATTCTTCACATCCCTATTATATCTCGAGCAACCAAACAATACCTCAAAAACAAAACAAAGGGCTCAAAAACAACATTCTTTGGGCCTGTTCTCTCAAGCAGCCCAGCCTATTAAAAAATCGATTTGAACTTCCAGGCACGGCATATAAACGAGCAATGCGGTAATATTAATTTACGCCTTGTGCTAAATGGAAACAACCGCTGAACCTCCTCAGGACCCCTCCGACAATGCAAACGATGTCGTTTCCGAGGACTCGTCACCAGAAACCGACCTCAACGATCACCAAAACTCGCCGGAAACCAACCTCCCACCTTCATCTGAAACTCAGTCTCCACTTCCCAATACAATACTCGACGCTCCAGTTTCAGACTCTCAAGACGACTCTTCTGACCCCATACAGCCACCCCAAAACCCTAACTCCACATTCCCTGCTCCACCTCCCAAAAAACGACGCCGTCGAAAACGCTTCTTCACCGAAATCAACGGCAATCCCCCCTTCCGCCGCCACAGAATTGGCGGCGGTCTCTCAAAAGAAGTCGATGTCGAAGCATTAATAGCGATCTCCGTCGGGTTTCCTGTCGATTCGTTAACTGAAGAAGAAATTGAAGCTAACGTGGTGTCTACCATTGGCGGCACGGAGCAAGCTAATTATATTGTCGTGAGAAACCATATTCTTAGTCGCTGGAGATCCAGTGTCTCTGTTTGGTTAACGCGTGATCATGCGCTCGAGTCGATTCGGGCCGAGCACAAAGCCTTAGTTGATTCTGCTTATAATTTTCTGCTACAACATGGCTACATTAACTTTGGCGTGGCGCTGTCTATTAAAGAAGCGCAGTTGAAATTAAATGAGGGAGTGGAGAGAGCCAATGTGGTTGTTGTGGGTGCAGGACTCGCGGGGTTGGTTGCGGCGAGGCAGTTAATGGCTATGGGTTTTAAGGTTGTTGTTTTGGAAGGGAGGGCTCGGCCGGGTGGGCGTGTGAAGACTATGATTTTGAAGGGGGAAGGAGTTGTGGCTGCGGCGGATGTTGGTGGGAGTGTTCTCACTGGAATAAATGGAAATCCACTTGGAGTTCTAGCGAGGCAAATGGGGTTGCCATTGCATAAGGTGAGAGATATTTGCCCTTTGTATTTGCCGGACGGGAAGGCTGTTGATTCCGAGATTGATTCTAGGGTAGAGGCATCTTTTAATAAGTTATTAGATAGAGTTTGTAAGCTTAGACAGGCTATGATCGAGGAAGTTAAATCTGTAGATGTTAATTTAGGGACCGCTCTTGAAGCATTTAGGCATGTTTATAAGGTGGCTGAGGATCCACAAGAGCTAATGTTATTAAATTGGCATCTTGCGAATTTGGAATATGCGAATGCTTCATTAATGTCTAATTTGTCTATGGCATATTGGGATCAGGACGATCCTTATGAAATGGGGGGTGATCATTGTTTTATTCCAGGAGGTAATGATACTTTTGTTAGAGAGCTTGCGAAGGACCTTCCGATTTTCTATGAGAAGACGGTGGAGAGTATAAGATATGGGGTTGATGGGGTTATTGTTTATGCGGGTGGACAGGGGTTCCGTGG